AAGTGGACTGTCCATTGCACCGACCAAGTATTATCTTTTGCCTTTTTCACAAATCAAGTTGATATCACGTTTTTTGTACGGCGCATGTAGAGTGATTCCTTCATAGGTGACAGAGTGGAAATGAGAACTGTAATACAATGAGGAAAGCCCGGACAACCGAACCAGCATAAGTGGACCGTCCAAACTGCCTACCAAGTATTATCTTTTGCTTTGTTCTCACAAATCAAGTTGATATCACGTTTTTTGTACGGCGCAGGTAGAGTGAGTCCTTCATAGCTGACAGAGTTGAAAGTAGAAATGTGATACAATGAGGAAAGCTTGGACAACTGAACCAGCAGAAAAGTAGAGCGTCTAAATCCCCGACCAAGTATTATCTTTTGCCTTTTTCACAAATCAAGTTGGTTGCTCGTTTTTGGTACGGCGCAGGTAGAGTGAGTCCTTCATAGCTGACAGAGTTGAAAGTAGAAATGTGATACAATGAGGAAAGCTTGGACAACTGAACCAGCAGAAAAGTAGAGCGTCTAAATCCCCGACCAAGTATTATCTTTTGCCTTTTTCTCAAAAATCAAGTTGGTTGCTCGTTTTTGGTACGGCGCAGGTAGAGAGAGTCTTTCATAGGTGACAGAGTGGAAAGGAGAAATGTGATACAATGAGGAAAGCCCGGACAACCGAACCAGCATAAGTGGACCGTCCAAACTGCAGACCAAGTATTATATTTTGCCTTTTTCTCAAAAATCAAGTTGGTTGCTCGTTTTTGGTACGGCGCAGGTAGANAAAGTGGACTGTCCATTGCACCGACCAAGTATTATCTTTTGCCTTTTTCTCAAAAATCAAGTTGGTTGCTCGTTTTTGGTACGGCGCAGGTAGAGTCAGTCCTTCATAGGTGACAGAGTTGAAAGTAGAAATGTGATACAATGAGGAAAGCCTGGACAACCGAACCAGCATAAGTGGACCGTCCAAACTGCAGACCAAGTATTATCTTTTGCTTTGTTCTCACAAATCAAATTAATATCATGTTTTTGGTACGGCGCAGGTAGAGTGAGTCCTTCATAGGTGACAGAGTGGAAATGAGAACTGTAATACAATGAGGAAAGCCCGGACAACCGAACCAGCATAAGTGGACCGTCCAAACTGCAGACCAAGTAT